GTATGGTAGAGTTATAATTGAAAGAATTAAGAGTAAGACGGAGAATAGGATAGCAGATGAACAAGGAGGCTTTAGGAAAGGTGGGGGGTGTGTGGACCAGGTGTTTACAGTGAAACATATAAGTGAACAGTATTTAGATAAGGCTAAAGAGGTCTTTGTGGCATTTATGGATTTGGAAAAGGCGTATGACAGGGTGGATAGGGGGGCAATGTGGCAGATGTTGCAAGTGTATGGTGTAGGAGGTAGGTTACTGAAAGCAGTGAAGAGTTTTTACGAGGATAGTGAGGCTCAAGTTAGAGTATGTAGGAAAGAGGGAAATTTTTTCCCAGTAAAAGTAGGCCTTAGACAAGGATGTGTGATGTCACCGTGGTTGTTTAATATATTTATAGATGGGGTTGTAAGAGAAGTAAATGCGAGGGTCTTGGCAAGAGGCGTGGAGTTAAAAGATAAAGAATCACACACAAAGTGGGAGTTGTCACAGCTGCTCTTTGCCGATGACACTGTGCTCTTGGGAGATTCTGAAGAGAAGTTGCAGAGATTGGTGGATGAATTTGGTAGGGTGTGCAAAAGAAGAAAATTAAAGGTGAATACAGGAAAGAGTAAGGTTATGAGGATAACAAAAAGATTAGGTGATGAAAGATTGAATATCAGATTGGAGGGAGAGAGTATGGAGGAGGTGAATGTATTCAGATATTTGGGAGTGGACGTGTCAGCGGATGGGTCTATGAAAGATGAGGTGAATCATAGAATTGATGAGGGAAAAAGAGTGAGTGGTGCACTTAGGAGTCTGTGGAGACAAAGAACTTTGTCCTTGGAGGCAAAGAGGGGAATGTATGAGAGTATAGTTTTACCAACGTCTTATATGGGTGTGAAGCGTGGGTGATGAATGTTGCAGCGAGGAGAAGGCTGGAGGCAGTGGAGATGTCATGTCTGAGGGCAATGTGTGGTGTGAATATAATGCAGAGAATTCGTAGTTTGGAAGTTAGGAGGACGTGCGGGATTACCAAAACTGTTGTCCAGAGGGCTGAGGAAGGGTTGTTGAGGTGGTTCGGACATGTAGAGAGAATGGAGCGAAACAGAATGACTTCAAGAGTGTATCAGTCTGTAGTGGAAGGAAGGCGGGGTAGGGTCGGCCTAGGAAGGGTTGGAGGGAGGGGGTAAAGGAGGTTTTGTGTGCGAGGGGCTTGGACTTCCAGCAGGCATGCGTGAGCGTGTTTGATAGGAGTGAATGGAGACAAATGGTTTTTAATACTTGACGTGCTGTTGGAGTGTGAGCAAAGTAACATTTATGAAGGGATTCAGGGAAACCGGCAGGCCGGACTTGAGTCCTGGAGATGGGAAGTACAGTGCCTGCACTCTGAAGGAGGGGTGTTAATGTTGCAGTTTAAAAACTGTAGTGTAAAGCACCCTTCTGGCAAGACAGTGATGGAGTGAATGATGGTGAAAGTTTTTCTTTTTCGGGCCACCCTGCCTTGGTGGGAATCGGCCGGTGTGATAATAAAAAAAAAAAAATCTATGTGGTATGTGTGCACCACATAAAACAGATCCTGCAGCACACTGTGTATAATGAGAGAAAAAAAACGAAATCATGATTTTTCGATTAAAACAGCGACTTTGCAGTGTTTTTTCGTATGTTTTTTATAGTTGTATTTGCGATTTCTTGGTCTCATTTGATAGAATGGAAGACATATTACAGAAATAGAGATGATTTTGATTGGTTTTAGCACTGGAAATGGCTTGAAACTGAGCTCAAAGTAGCAGAAATGTTAAATTTTTGCCGATATTCAAGAGTAAACAAACGACCTCACACATCTAATACACGCCAGCTGGTGGGTCTAATATGCATTCACAAATATGATGATGATATTTATACAATTATTACAGTATTGCATAACAGTAAATCTTCTATTTTTTGGTGTGAATAAAAATTCATTATGTGAATAAAAAATCAAAATGGAATTTATTTGTAAAGCCTCAAAACGTAACTAATGAACAGAGGAAATGTTAGTTTAGTTCCAGGAATACCTACATTGTTTATTCTGGACCCTATTTTGAAATTGGAATGTTTTGAACTTTGTGTTAAATTGGCCAAATTAACAATTTCCGATCACTTTAATTTGTAGTTGAAACAGTTGACTTGGCGATTTCTTGTGCTCAATCGGTAGAATAGAAGTAATACTAGTGAAATAGCTAGGAATCTGGTTGACTGGAATAATGTAATTGGCCTAAAATGGGAGTCAAAGTTGGCAAAATCGCCGATTCGTAAATATCGCTGACACATCAAAATTCGCGAGAGCATAATTTCATCAATTTTCCATCAAATTTCATATTTTTTGTTTTATTACCTTCACAAAAAGATTCTCTACCATTTCATAAGAAAAAATAATTTTTTTTTTTTTTAAATTCTTGGACACTGGGGCACCACTTCAGATTTGGGCCTTGGACCCTGAAGGGGTTAAATTCATGGAAAGCACAAAAATCATAAATTTACTGTAATTTAAGATTACGTATATATAGTCATTTCCTCTCTTCTTTCACCATAGTACAACTCTGGCCACAATTTTAGCAGCTGCAGTCAAGCTTCAAATTTTGTGAGCTGTTGAATCCAGGAAATTTGATTATGCCACTTTTTTTTTTTATTATAATAAGAAGCACTAAACCACAAGGGACATACAGCGACTTTTTTTTTTAAGAGGTTGATTAAAGAATTCAATACAGGACCAGGTAAGATCAAAATTTTAACGAAAATCACAATTTACTCAATTACTATGCCAGATGTGTTTTCCAGATTAATTTTAATTTAATAAATATTAATGGGGCAATGAAAACAAGGGATTTAACCCTATCAGGGTCCGTCCCGTAGATCTACGGCTTTACGTTCAGGGTCCACACCGTAGATCTACGCCAAAATTCTAGCTGCGTCAAATTTAGCACGAGAAGGCTGGTAGGCCTACATCTGAGAGAATGGGTCTGGGTGGTCAGTGTGCACACCATAGAAAAAATCTGGACGCCCGCATGGCATTGTGGGAACGCCAGCAAAGTAGCTTTGTTCATTGTGCCTGGCGGCAAGGAAGCTCTCACTCCCCACTCACTCTCCGGGCGAATTCTGACTCTCATCTTCACAACTTACAGTTCTACGACTGATGGAAGTGGAGCTGAAGACGAATTGTATGGTTTTGAACCATATGGTACCATTGTGCCATATGGTACAATGGTGCCATGTCATACAATGGTATCATATGGTACAATGTACCATATAGTACATTGTACCATATGGTACATTATACCATATGGTACAGGGTACAGGGACCCTAATGGTAATAAGTCTGTCTGACTTTTTTGGGTTATCCTAGGTTCTCCAAACATATGCTGCTAAGTATGATATTCTATGTAACTTTATTTGTGTATAAATAAATAAACTTACTTATGATGCCACATGCACTTGAGTAAGTTTATTCAGGTGTACAGAAATACAGTTACGTAGATTATCATACATAGCAGCATACGTATAAAATCTTAGGATAACCCAAAAAAGTCAGGGTGACTTATTTCAATAGTTATCCCTGTATCTGTACCATATGGTGTCCTGTACTGTATGGTACCCTGTGCCATATGGTAACCCTGTACCATATGGTACCCTGTAACATATGATACCATGTACCATATGGTGAATAGGTGTTGGTGGCATGAAACACCAGCCAAGACTGAGTGAGTGGCGACGCAAGCTAGCTACTGACTCCGCAGTTTCCTAGACAAAGTGCTTTGTCATCCACCTCAAGGAACACGTCAGGTTCCTGTACACTTGTAAATATATAATAGAACATTATTAATATACAACATTTTTGCATATTTTTGTTGTAAACAACTATTGTAAACAAAATAATAATGAAAATATTAGTGTTTATTGTGTTGAATACAACAGTACTGTATGGTACAATGTACCATATGGTACCATTGTACCAAATGGTGCCATTGTACTATATGGTACCATTGTATCGTGCCATTGTGCCATATTGTACCATATGGTACCATTGTATCATATAGTGCCATTGTACCATATGGTACCGTTGTATTCAACACAATAACCACACTAATATTTTCATCATTTTGTTTACAATAAACTTGTAAACAAGTTTTGTAAGTAATATAATGATAAACAAATTAGTGCAGTTATTGTGTTGAATACAATGAGTGTACACTTATACAATATACATTATACTGGTCTCACAGGCCACAAATGTTATTAGAAAAAGAAAAAAATAGAAAAGAAAAAAGCATAAAAAACGTAAAATAAAAAAATGGGATTTTGCGGAAGTCACTGATGTTGCCTCCACCAGGTCATTTTGGGTCAACTTCCCGCCGCTGTATCTCGGTAAGTACTGATCAGAATTTTTTTTTTTTTGGTCTTATTACCTTCACAAAAATATACTCTTTAATTCTGTTAGAAAAATTTTTTTTTTTTTTTTTTTTTTTCAAAATTTCTTGGACACTGGAGCACCACTTCAGATTTTGGCCTTGGACCCTGAAGGGGTTAATATACATTATAGTGGCCACCACGTAAGAGCATCACTGCCCATCAACGCTTGTTATTTTGCAGTCCACAATGTTTCGATTTTACCTGATGGTGCACACACAAAGCTATGCCAGCACACATGTTTATCATTTTGTGGATTCTGGTGATGTTCTAGTGTACATCGTAGTGAGTGGCAAAGGAGAGTCTGCTTCCATGAGAAAGAAAGCGATGAAATTAATTAAGAAAGTGGGGTAATTTATTAGACATGATGGCTAAAAGCGAGAGTACCTCTGCTGTTGACTGGTATTTTTTGTGTTAAAAAAAAATAGTGCATTTCATAAAGCCAGTATTGTACCTCAGACATCTCAGCCCGAACCTGAGAGATGAATGATTCTACAGAGAAATTATCTGGCTGACTTCCCATGTAAGTCATCACCACATCATCAATCATTATCAATAAAGGTAAGTGATTTTTTATTACAGTACAGTACTTATATTATTTTTATTAATGTACATGCAAAATATAAACTACGAAAATTTTCAATAATTCGGGCATGCCAAATTTACTATTCACAAATTCAGGATTAACGAAGCCTCCAGAAACCTACCACTTTGCATTATATAAAAAAAAATATTATACACAAAGTCTGAAACAAATAGGTTTCAGAAATTAATTTTCATATTAGAACATTTAAAGTTATTACATTACTATTCAACATATCCCTAACAATTGTTCTTAGAAATACTGATGGCTTCAATAATTATAGGGGTTTTAAAAATTATATACAGTACTAAATTTTTTATCAGGAGAAAATATTAATACATCATTATCAAAAATAAATTACTAAATTTACACTGCTACTGCTAGGATAATGAAGATTATTTGTGAGGCTTTATTTTTTATTTCACATACCTAGATAAAAAAAAAGTTAGTTTATCACAAAACACTTAAGCTTGTGACTAGGAAACAAAAATGTCAACAATGTATATTAAAAAACATTGCATAAAGAAAATATATTTCACTTTGCTCATTTTGCTTCAAATATATCGCGCTTTGCACGGACGGTACCCTCTGTTATGTAAACTTTTGGTCTGTCTTTGACCCGAAATGTATCACGCCGCTCAGCCCGTGAACAAGGCTGTCGGCAGGACTTTGGTGTTGCACAATCTTTGGTGCTATATGACTTATTGCCAGCATTTGAGTTGCTAGTAGTATGATGAACAGGACATGGAGGGCTTGTTACACTGATCAATCTATGACCAGCATGTAGAGCACTAAATTTGTGTGTTAACAAGGGTACTAGACACCCCTGCCTTACTCGAGAAGATGTGCGTCTAGGAGCCTCAGATCCTGAGCCAGACCCAACATTTCTCTCGAAGAAATCTACTATTTGGCGGATATCAGTATCAACCTCATAATCTGACAAACGGCTACCAGGCATAACATCCTCACTCTCACATAAAGAAGAGAGATCACAAGAGTTTTGAGGGTCATGGCAGCAACCCAGACTAGATAGGTCTTCTGAGCTATCAGTGACAACAGATGATGATCTTTGCACAAAACACTGATGACCAGGATCATCATCTTCTGTAGACATTAAAGAGGCAGTACTCAGTTCTGAAAAAGACAGGCAAAGTTCTGGGGTACCGACTCTTTCAATATCACCAACACTGAAAAACCCACTCTCTCCTGAGCCTCGGCGACGAACCGGTCCTCCAAGGTGATTATTTTGTAATACTGTATTTCCTCCTTCACCCCCACTTCCTGGATCTGAACGTGGGATGCTATTGGCTGATCCTTCATCGTCTGCTTGCCCTGAAGGCCTACACAAGTCTTGGTGCCACACCAATGGGTCAACATCAACACTAGATACTCTAGTCAACTTACACTTGCAATCTGTCACATCTCTTTCAATAGTTTTTGACTTTTTTGCACTGTGCACACACTGGCAATGTTTTCTATTATTGTCAACTTGAGATGAGAATTGTCTATTGTTCACATGGCACTGACAATGAGCAGGAGATGCATGAGGACATAAGCAAGAATCTGATGTATGAATATGCTTATTGGACTCTAAGCTCGGCGAGTGTACTAGAAGATCAGGATAATCTGGTAGAGAAAGACAATAACGGCCACCTTCTTGCAGAGCCAACTGTGACCGGGCAGGTAATTTTAGCTGCGCAAAAGGATTGACTGTGCCAGTAGATGGCTGGAAGTAAGGGTCAGCTGCACTCATTTTCTCAACAATTTCCTGAGGTGTAACAGCAGCTGAGCCGGCCAATGTGGTAACTGGATGAGCTGCTGTTGGGACACTTGGCACACATAATGTCTCACCCATTTGATTGCGCAAGAGTTTAAAGGTATCATCTGACAACGATCGACGATGACAAACTGGTGATAGGGAGAATATGTCATTAATAAAATATTTTTAACTATGTTATATTAAAGGCTTAAGAATATCATTAATATTGTACACAATTAAAATTTACAAGATTATAATGTAGTCATTTCTTAATCCATTATCATGAGACATAATAATTACATATCCTTGACTGTAGCAATTTATTAATGCTCTCTCCAAACTATATCTGCAATCTGATCTCAGTCTCTATAATAATAATTCACTCTAGACCAAGACTGCAATTATTATGCAGTTAACCAAACAAAAACTATCTTCAGCAACACCAAGAACATCTCAGTATTTTACTACAATGCCAGATCCCTAAGTAAATACTATAATGACATCAATGCACTCCTAGAGGCATTAAATGTACACCTAACATTCATTATTCTTACAGAAACTTAGCCAAAACACAATATTATAGACATTTAAAACTCACCTGGGTACACAGCCATACATAGCTGCAGACCTGATCAACAGGGAGAAGAAACTGCAATCTACTACACTAATGAAATAAAATGTATTAACGCAACATGTACCAATGACAAACGACGAATACATATTTGCACAATTTGCGACCAAAAACTTGAAGATCCCAATCACAATAGGAGCTGTCTACAGATAAGACATGCCAATATAGCCAAATTTACTGATAAATGCTTAATAATTGCATAAGATTTTAACATTAACTTCATTAAATTAGAAGACCATCAAGTAGCTGGTTCTCTAAATATGTATAATTGCTTCTTAATCAGATCAATAACCAAGTATACAAGAATTACTGCAACAACTGTATTATCACTTGACCACATCTAGACAAGTAAAACAGCTCCTCTAAAAAGGCATTATCACCAACAATATAACTAATCATTACCCCCACCTTCCTAGTAAACACCACAAAATTATCACTCAAAACTTAATGAAATTTCATTTAGGCTCACTGATTTGGCATCAGTGAATAACTTTACCTTAGCAGTCACTAATATTGACTGGCAGAGAGAATTTGACAACAATCAAGACATTAACTCGTGTCCACATATTTCTACAAAAAATTCAAAGCCTCTACAATAAGCACTGTCTTTAAAAAACCAGTCACAATAGAAACTAAATAGCCTATGGCTAACCACCAGCATCTTCACATCCATTTGCAAAAAAACATACTAGCTATGAAAAACAATACATACAGGGATTAACCAAAGAATTTTAAAATAAAAAAATTACTTTAGATAAAAACAAAAGCTCATATTCGAAATACAGTAGAGCCCCGCTTTACGGCATTCTGCTAATACGGCGATTTCAAATTATGACCAAAACTTCCTATATGGCTCCTGGTCTTTCTAATACGGCACGCCCCACCTGGTTTTACATTCTCCGTGAGCACATCTCTCTATTATTTCTGAAAACTTTCCAAAATTTCAAGTGTTTTAAAGTTACAGCATATTTTATATGTATTCTTTCTTTCAACGCACCAGCCATATCCCACCGAGGGGGGGATGGCCCAAAAAGAAAAACGAAAGTTTATCCTTTTACATGTAGTAATATATACAGGCGAAGGGGTTACTAGCTTCTTGCTCCCGGCATGTTAGTCGACTCTTACGAAATGCATGGTTTATGGAGGAGGAATTCTGTTTCACTTTTCCATGGAGATAAGTGGAAATAAACAAGAACAAGAAATACAAATAGAAGAAAACCCAGAAGGGTAAGAGTGAGTGTGAGTGTGTGTACTCGCCTAGTTGAGGTTGCAGGGGTCGAGTCCAAGCTCCTGGATTCCCCCCCCCGTGTGTGTGTGTGTGTGTGTGTGTGTGTGTGTGTGTACTCACCTAGTTGAGGTTGCAGCGGTTGAGTCCAAGCTCCTGACCCCGCCTCACCACTGGTCGCTACTAGGTCACTCTCCCTGAACAGTGAGCTTTATCATACCTCTGCTTAAAGCTATGTATGGATCCTGCCTCCACTACATCGCTCCCCAAACTATTCCACTTCCTGACTACTCTGTGGCTGAAGAAATACTTCCTAACATCCCTGTGATTCATCTGTGTTTTCAACTTCCAACTGTGTCCCCTTGTTACTGTGTCCCATCTCTGGAACATCCTGTCTTTGTCCACCTTGTCAATTCCTCTCAGCATTTTGTATGTCATTATCATGTCCCCCATCTCTCCTGTCCTCCAGTGTCATCAGGTTGATTTCCCTTAACCTCTCCTCGTAGGACATACCTCTTAGCTCTGGGACTAGTCTTGTTGCAAACCTTTGCACTTTCTCTAGTTTCTTTACGTGCTTGGCTAGGTGTGGGTTCCAAACTGGTGCCGCATACTCCAATATGGGCCTAACGTACACGGTCTACAGGGTCCTGAACGATTCCTTATTAAGATGTTGGAATGCTGTTCTGAGGTTTGCTAGGCGCCCATATGCTGCAGCAGTTATTTGGTTGATGTGCGCTTCAGGAGATGTGCCTGGTGTTATACTCGCCCCAAGATCTTTTTCCTTGAGTGAGGTTTGTAGTCTCTGGCCCCCTAGACTGTACTCTGTCTGCGGTCTTCTTTGCCCTTCCCCAATCTTCATGACTATGCACTTGGTGGGGTTGAACTCCAGGAGCCAATTGCTGAACCAGGTCTGCAGCCTGTCCAGATCCCTTTGTAGTTCTGCCTGGTCTTCGATCGAATGAATTCTTCTCATCAACTTCACGTCATCTGCAAACAGGGACACTTCGGAGTCTATTCCTTCTGTCATGTCGTTCACAAATACCAGAAACAGCACTGGTCCTAGGACTGACCCCTGTGGGACCCCGCTGGTCACAGGTGCCCACTCTGACACCTCGCCATGTACCATGACTCGCTGCTGTCTTCCTGACAAGTATTCCCTGATCCATTGTAGTGCCTTCCCTCTTATCCCTGCTTGGTCCTCCAGTTTTTGCACTAATCTCTTGTGTGGAATTGTGTCAAATGCCTTCTTGCAGTCCAAGAAAATGCAATCCACCCACCCCTCTCTCTCTTGTCTTACTGCCGTCACCATGTCATAGAACTCCGGTAGGTTTGTGACACAGGATTTCCCATCCCTGAAACCATGTTGGCTGCTGTTGATGAGATCATTCCTTTCTAGGTGTTCCACCACTCTTCTCCTGATAATAATCTCCATGACTTTGCATACTATACATGTCAGTGACACTGGTCTGTAGTTTAGCGCTTCATGTCTGTCTCCTTTTTTAAAGAGTGGGACTACATTTGCTGTCTTCCATACCTCAGGCAATCTCCCTGTTTCGATAGATGTATTGAATACTGTTGTTAGGGTTACACATAGCGCCTCTCCTCCCTCTCTCAGGATGCATGGAGAGATGTTATTCGGCCCCATTGCCTTTGAGGTATCTAGCTCACTCAGAAGCCTCTTCACTTCTTCCTCGGTTGTGTGTACTGTGTCCAGCACTTGGTGGTGTGCCCCACCTCTCTGTCTTTCTGGAGCCCCTTCTGTCTCCTCTGTGAACACTCCTTTAAATCTCTTGTTGAGTTCCTCACATACTTCACGGTCATTTCTTGTTGTCTCTCCTCCTTCCTTCCTTAGCCTGATTACCTGGTCCTTGACTGTTGTTTTCCTCCTGATGTGGCTGTATAACAGCTTCGGGTCAGATTTGGCTTTCGCTGCTATTTTGTTTTCATATTGTCGTTGGGCCTCCCTTCTCATCTGTGCATATTCATTTCTGGCTCTACTACTGCTCTCCTTATTCTCCTGGGTCCTTTGCCTTCTATATTTCTTCCATTCCCTAGCACACTTGGTTTTTGCCTCCCTGCACCTTTGGGTGAACCATGGGCTCATCCTGGCTTTTTCATTAATCCTATTACCCTCGGGTACAAACCTCTCCTCAGCCTCCTTACACACACACACACACACACACACACACACAGTGAGTGAGAGAGAGAGAGAGAGAGTGAGAGAGTGTGAGTGAGAGTGAGTGAGAGTGAGTGAGAGTGAGTGAGTGAGAGTGAGTGAGACTGAGTGAGAGTGAGTGAGAGTGAGTGAGTGAGAGTGAGTGAGTGAGAGTGAGTGAGAGTGAGTGAGTGAGAGTGAGTGAGAGTGAGTGAGTGTGAGTGAGAGTGAGTGTGAGTGAGGGTGAGTGAGTGAGAGTGAGTGAGAGTGAGTGAGAGTGAGTGAGTGTGAGGGTGAGTGAGTGAGTGTGAGGGTGAGTGAGTGAGAGTGAGTGTGAGAGTGAGTGTGTGTGTACTCGCCTATTTGTACTCACCTATTTGTGGTTGCAGGGGTCGAGTCATAGCTCCTGGCCCCGCCTCTTCGCTGATTGCTACTAGGTCCTCTCTCTCCCTGCCCCATGAGCATTATCATACCTCGCCTTAAAACTATGTATGGTTCCCACCTCCACTACGTCACTTTCTAGGCTATTCCACGGCCTGACTACTCTATGATTGAAGAAATACTTCCTAACATCCCTTTGATTCATCTGAGTCTTCAACTTCCAATTGTGACCTCTTGTTTCTGTGTCCCATCTCTGGAGCATCCCGTCTTTGTCCACCTTGTCTATTCCGCGCAGTATTTTATATGTCGTTATCATGTCTCCCCTGACCCTCCTGTCCTCCAGTGTCGTCAGGCCGATTTCCCTCAACCATTCTTCGTAGGACAATCCCCATAGCTCTGGGACTAGTCTTGTTGCAAACCTTTGCACTTTCTCTAATTTCTTGATGTGCTCGACTAGGTGTGCTTTCCAAACTGGTGCTGCATACTCCAGTATGGGCCTGACGTAAATGGTATACAGAGTCTTGAACGAATCCTTACTGAGGTATCGGAACGCTATCCGTAGGTTTTCCAGGCGCCCGTATGCTGCAGCAGTTTTCTGATTGATGTGCGCCTCAGGAGATATGCTCGGTGTTATACTCACCCCCAGATCTTTTTCCTTGAGTGAGGTTTGCAGTCTTTGGCCATCTAAACTAATTGTGTCTTTGCCCTTCCCCAATCTTCATGACTTTGCATTTGGCAGGGTTAAACTCAAGGAGCCAGTTGCTGGACCAGGCTTGTAGCCTGTCCAGGTCTCTTTGTAGTCCTGCCTGATCCTCATCCGATTTGATTCTTCTCATTAACTTCACATCATCTGCAAACAAGGACACTTCTGAGTCTATCCCTTCCGTTATGTCGTTCACCTTTACCAAGAACAGCACAGGTCCTAGGACTGACCCCTGTGGAACCCCGCTTGTCACAGGCGCCCACTCTGACACCTCGTCACGTACCATGACTCGTTGTTGCCTCCCTGTCAGGTATTCTCTGATCCATTGCAGTGCCTTTCCTGTTGTGTACCTGATCCTCTAGCTTTTGCAGTAACCTCTTGTGAGGAACTGTGTCGAAGGCCTTCTTGCAGTCCAAAACAATGCAGTCGATCCACCCCTCTCTCTCTTGTCTTACTTCTGTCACCTTGTCATAAAACTCTAGTAGGTTTGTGACACAGGATTTTCCTTCCCTGAAACCGTGCTGGTTGTCAAT